CATTAATACCAGAGACATGGAGATAAAGAACATAGTTTCTATCCTTAAGGTGTTCACAGTCTAGAGAGACTTAAAAAAAAACTTACAGCACCCCCACTTGCGTGGAGGAAGAAACTAAAGGCTGGCGAGGCCCAAATGCCTTGCCCTAACTCAGCTTCCAGGCAGCGGGCAGGACCTGATTCCAGCCTCTTCTGATCACATCTCAGTGACTCCTCTGCGGCCCCGGCTCCACCCTCAGGCTCCTAATCTCGCTCTCCATTACTGTTTTTGTTCGTGTGCAAGGGAGACTGCAGAAGACTGAGAGCTGGGATCCATCTAAGCAAGTCCAGCAATGAGGCCACTGATTTTATGCACCCAGAATCCACTAAGCCACGTTTTTTAAAAACATAACAGAACTACAACAACGTGACTTTTTCTGTTTATTGTTTTGGGCTGCTTCAATCTTAAGTTGAACTCTGTTCTGTGAAGCTGCAAATATTTTCAAAGAAAGAGCAGGACAGGTCGGGCTAAGAGGGAATTTTTAATGTTCTCTTTCATCATCAGGGCAACAGAAGGTCATTGTAATAGAGAATGCATTTCTGTGACAAGGTTCCTATCCTCAGAAATGGCCCCTGTGGATAAAAAAATGTTATTCAACTTATTTATTCACTTAATGACAGTAAGCCAAGAATTTGTGCTGGAGGTATCCGAGTGGATGCAGGAGACGCAGTTCCCCCATCCTTACAGAGCTCTCTGTTCAGTGAGAGAGAAACAAGTTACTACAAAGCAATGGTCAGCTCTACTTGTGACAAAGGACAGCTTCCTGAGAGCTGAGGCATGAGAAGGAACTTGCCAAATGGATGAGGTGGGGGGCCGGGGCGGGAAGACTGGCGAGCGTGGATGCAGAGAATACAGGCACAAGACGGCCAACCTGGAGCTGAAAGCATTAGCTGAAGTGCTTTTATTCACCACTTGGAAACCGAACCTATCACTACCAAACACAACTTCTCTGTTCTTCTTCAAGCTCTTTATGAAACCAGTTCCAATCTAGTTTTTACCCCTATTACTCCACTGATACTGATTTTGCAGTGATCACCAGTGACTTGTAATGTTGCCAAATTTAATTCAGGAGATGCTTTTCGGACATCACACTACTTGACCTCACAGTAGCACAGGACGCAGTTGGCCATCCCCGCTTTTCAGCTATACTGTCCTCTCTTCTCGGGAAATTCCCCTCCACCTCGCTAGTCCCTTCCCTCATCCCCACCGCCTGAGATCTCCTCCTCTACCTGATCGCTAAAGGCTGAAGTTTCTCCCTGCCCAGGTGATATCAGCCATTCCTGGAGCTTTAAGACCACCCCTATGCTCGGGACTCCAAGTCAACCTTACCTCTGAGCTCATCTTGTGAACCCAACTCTCTCCTTGATATCTCCACTGGGAAACCTCTCAGACATCTCAAAGTTCAAAAGTGGAGCTTATTATTTCAAACATTAAACCTGCTTGTCTCCAAATCATTCCAATCATGGCACACTCTTCACCAGGCCGATCATTGGAGGTCATTCTCGCCCCTACATCTAGTCACCAAGTCTGTCTTCCTTCCCCACTTCCATCTCCACCACTGACCTGCAGCCCAGGGCTCCAGCTTCTTGCACTGTGTCACCACTCTCCAGCCCCTACCCTCAGTGCATTCTCCACAGAGCAGCGACAGCAACAGTTCACATTGTTTCATTCCTCTGCTGACAGCCCTTCTGTGATGTTCAGCAGTTCTTCCACAGATATTCCAACTCCATTCTCTCCTTCCGGTACATGGTAAGACTGTGAAGTTAGGGGCGGGGGCCATGTATCTTTCTTTGGATAAGGAAATGGGAGCAAAAATGATATGGACCACTTCTGGGTGGGAACTTTAAGAGCCAATGTAGGGAGAAAATGGGGGACATACGCTATAGTGTCAACAATTACAAATATATATATATAGATAGCCAATGTGCACCTCACGCTTTTCTCTCCTACACCATGACGATCACCATGTTCCAGAGACTGGCTGCTCCATCTGCCCAGATTTGTGGCCTGGGATGCGATGGCAAAGCTGACGTGCAGCATGAGCGAGAAACATGTGCAGGGTTGCACCTCCAACAGCTCCCAACTGCACTCAGAATGCCATGCAAATGCCACACCGTAACAGATTCCAGTACAATCCGCTCCCCTGTACCTACCCAACCTCACGTTAGGCCTGTCCTTCCCATTCACTCTGTTCCACTCCCACTGGCCTCCTTGCAATATTTGGAACATGACAAGCCCCTTTCTACCCTTTTATGTGATGTTCTTTGCATGGTTCACTCATCAACCTTTTTTACTTTTATTTTATTGTTATCCTCACATGAGGACATGCTTACTGATTTTAGAGAGAGCAGAGAGGAAGGAGAGCATGTGGGAGAGAACATCGACCAGCTGCCTCTCACACGCTCCCCAACCAGGGTCTGAACCTGCAACCTAGGCATGTGCTCCAACCAGGAATCAAAACCATGACCTCAATGCCCCAACTGAGCGACACTGGCTAGGGCCCACCCTTTAGATCTCACCTTAAAAATGACCTCCTCAGAGATGTCTCCCTAACCACTTTATCAAAGGAGACCCCTCACTGTGCTTCTCCATCCAGCATCCCTGCCCTTTCCTGCATGGCACACCACAGTCTGTACCAACTGTCCATCTCTTTGACTGACTGTCTCTTCCACAAGGCTGTACATACTGTGAGGGGAGGAGCTTACCACTATCTCCAGTGCCTAGCTTCCAACCCTCAAAATAGCACCTGTATAAGGTAACCACTAGACAAATATAATGAATGAATGAATAAAAAGAGACTCAAAAAGTGGGACATCAGAAAATACTACAGACTTCTGCCAAGATGGAGGTATAGATAGATACATTTTGCCTCCTCGCACAACCAAAAGGACAATAACAAATTTAAAAACAAAAGTATAACCAGAATTGCCAGAACATCAAACTATATGAAAGTCCAACAACCAAGTAGTTAAAGAAGAAACATTCATTCAAGAGATGAATCATAGGGGTGCCAGAAGAAGAGGAAGAGCAAGAAACTGAAAACTTACTTGAAAAAATAATGAAGGATAACTTCTCCAATCTGGCAAAGGAAATAGACTTCCACGAAGTTCAGAGAGTCCCAAAGAAGTTGGACTCAAGGAAGCATACACATCGTAATTACAGTATCCAAGATGAAAGATAAGAATCTTAAAAGCATCAAGAGAAAAGGAGACAGTTACCTACCAAGGAGTTCCCATCGGACTATCAGCTGGTTTCTCAAAAGAAACCTTGAAGGCAAGAAGGGGCTAGAAAGAAGTATTCAAAGTCATCAAAGGCAAGGACCTTCATCCAAGATTACTCTGTCCAGCAAAGCTTTCACTTACAATGGAAGGGCAGATAAAGTGCTTCTCAGGTAAGGTTAAGTTAAAGGAGTTCATCATCACCAAGCCCTTATTATATGAAATGTTAAAGGGACTTATCTAAGAAAAAGAAGATGATTATATGTACAACCCATGGACATGAACTAAGGTAGGGAGCAGGTGGGAGGGGGGTACAGAGTGGAGGAGAATAAAGGGGGTAAAAATGGGACAACTGTAATAGTATACTCAATAAAATGTATTTTAAAAAGATAAGAAAACACTACAGACATCTATCACATATCACAGAACCCTATCTCAGATCTCTCTTATTACCCGGGACCCGCGAAGGCAGAAAGATGCAGTACACCCAAACTACAGGTAACACATTTTGTGGGAACTTTTTTCTTGAAGTCTTTCATCTCAGAGTAAGAAGCTACTATGATTAGGAAATAGGTCTGTGTTCTGAATTCATTTTATGGGACTTGAGGTCAACTTATATTGGCTTAATTTACTATCTTGCCCCATCACCAAATGCTATTCTGTGGTCACAAGACATGAAAAGCTAAATGCTCTAAGGGGGATTTGATCCACAGTCCCGATTTGATTAGCACAGTCTCCAAAGCATCTAAACAAATGAAACCACCTGGCTTTTTGCCTCTAACCACCCTCAGGTAAAATAACATGTGTATAATAGAAAGGTGGGGCCTGGATAACTCCCAAACAATTCTTACAGGATCTGAATAGTCTCCGAGAATGACCAGAGCATAAGAAACCTCAGAGACCATACACTTAAATCCCCTCTTTTAACAGTTGAGCAAACAGGCCAAGCAGGCAGTTAACCGTATTTTGCCGTGTATAATGCACACCCTTGTTTTTGGCCCAAACTTTCAAGATAAAAAATCTTTCATTATAATTTTTATTTCAATTACTTACTTATTTATATTTAGAAACAAAACCTACTATCACATTCTGGGGTATTATTTTGCATACAAATATCATTATTGCTTTCGAGTTATACTTTTAACACATAAGCATAAATAAAAGAATTAAAAATGTTTAGCCCTGACTGGTGTAGCTTGGTGGCTTGGGCATCATCCCGCACACTGCAAGGTCATTGGTTCGATTCCCAATTCCTGGGGTCAGGGCACATGCCTGGGTAACAGGCCAGGACCCTGGCTGGGAATGTGCTAGAGGCAACCAATTGATGTTTCTCTCACACATCGGTGTTTCTCTCCCTCTCTTTCTCTCTCCCTAGAAATAAATAATCATCTTAAAAACCATTTATATGGATATGGAATTAGTACTACCCACGTATAATGTGCATACTTATTTTTCCCTAAAAAATTTAGGCAAAAAGTGTGCATCATACACGGCAAAATACGGTACATATCTGCCTACGAGAAGACAGACCCCGGGCTCCTGCTCCTGGTCAGGTGCTCCTTCCACAACTCGTCACCTCCCTAATCAAGAGCTGGTGAGTAAGTCAGAGTGCCCAGGAGACAACCCGGTAGATAACGTCTAGATGACACAGGTTGCAAATCCCCCAGTGTTTCTCTTTCTCTTCATCCCCTTCATTTAGACAACCCAGAATAAACAGAGCAAACACAATACAAACAAAGGAGATCAGGAAGAGCTATTTTAATTCTCTATTAAACATTCTTCCAAAAGCATTATTTTACCTTGTATTTTACTAAGTTATAAGAAATAACATTAGTATTAGAAAAACTAGGAAGATAAATGTGGATTATTAATTAATATGAGAAGGAAAATTATAACAAAGGATTGAAAGCTTTATAAATTAATATGAAATTATAATTTTAAAACTGCATCTCAAAGCAAATTTTATTGTTAAAACTATTCGACACTGATTTTTTCAGGAAGGAAACCCATTTAAAAATATTTTTTATTTTAAAAATAGGCCTGGAGTTCAGTTATAAATTCCCCCCCAAGCTCTGATCATATTTCTTTTATTTAGATGTGGGAAGAAAATACCATTCTGATGGCGCAAAATGCAAAATCTAAAAAAATTTTAAAATCCCAGTACAGAATTTTAAAAATTACTAATGAAAATAGATTAAGGTCATTAAGAGCACAAACTAATTACTGGACAGCTTTTGGTATTTTGTTTCTCTCCTAATCCTCCCAAGAAAAACTTAAATTGAATCTTGAGCAGAACAATCCTCAAATATCCTTCATAAGCAAAATGAGAGCTTTTGTCTACATAACTTTGGGACTTTTGCTGTTCCTAATTTTATTCTGAAACCCAATTTCCCCCCAAACCATAATTACCGCATTAACTCTGTAGCGCACAGTGGTGTGTGACGCAGCAAAGCAGAAGTGTGCCACCGGGCTCTACCCACCCAGGGCTTCGGAAAAACAGGATTGGTCACACCCATTTAAAAACAAATCTCGTGCTATTTACTAACACATGGTTTCTGTCTAAGTTCTAACAATGAAATATGTGGATATGTATCTATAAGTCTCATCTTGATTTTCAAAGGTAGACACAGGAAGTTCTTCACAGCTTAGCTTTGTCCGGCTGGAGCTGAAGGTTTTGTAACTTCATAGCCAGACCCATGTTGCCAGTGATTTTCAATTTTCCCTGAAAGAAGGCCTGTGAGTAAGAAGAAAGAAAATGTATTACTTGGTGTTTTCTGTTTTGAGGTTGCTAATATTTCTAGACTGCCCAGCCCTGAGATCACTGATTCATCAGGTCTCTTATACTTTCTCCAAAATATGAAACTGAACTTTCTGGAACTGATTTAGAACCAGACTCTTCAAAAGGAAGGAACTACGACAGCCATGCTTTACACAGAGCAGTCAGAAGGCGTATCTTCCCCAAGTGCCTTCTCTTGGAAGTTGAGTCTGCCTCTACCTGCCTTCCTCAACGGTGCTACATTTCCCAAATATCAGGCCAAGTGTATTCACACTAGAATGATTTTGTTTAAAAACATCACATGTGGATCAGGAATATAAACTAAAATTTTCATAAGTCTGCTGAGGAAAAAAGCACACGCATAACACACTTAGAAACTCCTGGAACACAATATGGATGAAATATTATCAATTTCTTTTTCCTTTTTGGTCTTCACAATAAAGGACCTCTCCCCACAGAGGGAGGTCAGGCAGCGTGCTGAGACTGGGGTGCCTGTGTTCACCTTTGGCTCAGTCAGAAGGATCAAGGCAATCCGAAGCGCAGAGCCTCAGTTCGTTCCATTTAACAACTGCCTGGGATTAGATCACATGATGCTTGCTAAATTTATCATGTAACAAAATCCCAGGAAAACTTTGGAGAAATAGCAAAATTGAGAACATAGCCAGATTTCCCTGCTATGATCTCAGTCTTTGAACTGAATTCTTAAAATAAGTAAGGGCTAGATGAAAAAAGTCCCTGATAGTCTTAGCTTTTTAACAAGCACATGAAGAAGTCAGCAGGTAAGCTCGGTTGGAGCATCGTCCCCGATATGCCAAGGTTGTGGGTTCAATCCTCGGTTAGGGCACATACAGGAATCGACCAATGAAAGCATTAAATAAGTGGGACAACAAATGGATGTCTGTCAGTCTCTCTCTCTCTCAAATCAATTTTCAAAAAAAGAAAAAAAAGAAGTTAGGACTCTTTGCCTCATCCATGAGAATTCACAGAGCCCTGCTTTTTCTGCATCTTCTAGTAAGGGTGACTAATTTTTTTCTTCCCCTCCTCTGTCTGGACAAACTAAATATTTCCTTCCTATATGGCACACAGCCTTCTGTCTGATGACTTAAAGGTCAGGTGTCTCAGAACACAATATATTTAACATATGTCCTTTAAAAATACAGACCAGTGGTACCTAGAAGAGAAATTCACCATCTTTCCCTTTTTTAAATTCAAAGAGAAAATATCTTTTTATTTACTAATTATTCTAGAGAACACACAAATCTTCACCCTCCAGAGAACCCAAACATAAGAACCATTTTAATCTGGCCCCTAGGTGTTCTTTGTATGTGCTGGCTGACGGAGAGCACATTGCTTTGTTTCAGCTGTAGCCAAACAGTGAATTCTAATTTCCACTGCATTTAATGGTTTCCAGTCAAACCCTACTGAGCATAAGGGAAGGTGCCGAAAGGAAGGCCATTAGCACATTAATGGAAAGGTCTGTCATTTTTGTCTTTAATTCCTCTGTGTGCTCACAGGTGCTCAGGAAAAACAAGCTAACGTTTCACGCCCCCAAACTGGCGGAGAACAGATAAACTGCTGAACGCATAAACGGATAAACATAAACGAGAGAACTGAAGCTGGCTGACGTGCAGTTGCCCTGCCGAGGAGGCGCGTGCAGCGAGCGCACAGCGGAATGAGGATGACCGCCAGCTCCGGCACTGGTGGCCTCAGATCTGTCCAGACTTCTGGAGTGAGCTCAGTGGGTGGGAATGTCAGTGTCAATGGCGTGCATTCAGTTGAAATGTCAGAGACGCACGGCTCTTGTCTGTCAGAGCATTAACTGAAATATGCTTAGTTGCTTAGGAAAAGCATTTTAAAAAGGAATACAAGTGGGAGTCAGATTTAGTTGTTTTATCCAATGTCTAGAATTACCAGGGGACCACAGGAGTAGGACCTAAAACAAATCAGGTTGAGCACCTTACTTTCCTTGTTATTATCTATGGCCGATGGAAAGCTTGATATACCATGGTCTGTCTGCCACTGTGCAACTACAGAGGACAAGAAGACCCTCGACAATCTGGGCAGTTCAGAAAAATACAATATAATCCTACAACTGTGAAAACTTAAAATGGTCAGGCATCATGCTAAGCTCTGGAGACAAGAAGACAAGACATGGTTTGTTCCTCTAAGATAACCATAGTCCAATGGGGAAGATGAGCACATTAGGACTCACATCGATCATGTGACAACTGCTAAGCTAGCAGCCCAGGAAGTGGACCAGAAGAGGGACTGGCTACAGCTCCCCAACCACTTGGAAGGAGGTCTTTGGAGATACCATTTGAGCTTAATTTGAGAGACAAGGAGTTTATCAGGGAGGGCCAGCTCAGGCAGCGGCATGGGCGAATACACAAAATGTAAAAGGTCACACCTTTGTTCACACCTCTCCCTTCTTCCACCTGGATTGTTCCTACTCTGCATCAGTGCGCCACTCACTTCTGAACCCCTCGAACTCAGATCCAGTGCCACTTTCTCTATGAGCCTTCGTCTGATGGCCCAGGACGTCATGGATGCGCCCTGCCCGACCCTCCCAGACCACAAACCATGTGGAGTACCTTGGATGCCTGGCTGCCCTCACTCTTGCAGATCTGTCTCATACCAAACTGGGGGTTCCCTGAGCACAGGTACTATTTCTTACTCATCTGGGCCTTTCCAGCACACAGGACAGTGTCTGGCACACAGTTTGCTCCACAAATGTTTGTCATTTGTTAGGTAAACACTGAGTTTTGTGGGCTTGACCACTTTGCACTTCATGATGTGAGGCTGAGGCAGGAGATAAAGTGCAAGGGGCTAGTTAAGAACCCACCTACTAGAAGGATGTAAGTGCCATTATACCTACCGACTGAGGATTCATTTTACCAGTCATTAAAGCCAGTAAGTCCGAGTCAGCCATTGTGATTGTACAGTCAGCCTTCTTGTCTAACACAGAGACACACAAAAGAAGGAAAGAGAAAAGGGGAGTTCAGTTTTATGTACACATTTTAGTCAAAAGCCGCTAACTGCAACAGAATCACATCCCACACCGGAGCAGTGTGGGGAGATGGGCACTCAGTGGCAGCCTGGTTAAATCTGACATAAATTACAAGCAACCTCAACATTTAACAAGAGAGAACTGATTAAATAAATGACGGCAGTGTAAACAATCATTTGTTCAACAGATATTCTAAAAACATCTACATATGGTAAGTATTTTTTAAGATTTTATTTACTTATTCCTAGAGAGAGGGGAAGAGAGGGAGACTTTTCATAGTATAACCTTTTGTATCTTTTAATCTTTTCATCATGAAAATGTATTACTTACTCTAAAAGCAAATTAAAAATTTAACAATCACTTAAAGCCACTTACTTGTTTTACAAGTCAGTTTTACAAAAAACAAATGTCTTTATCGATATTCCTACTTTTAAGAGATTTTGTAGTCTTTTATTCTTTTTCAAAAAATTATCAGTCATTCATAGAGAGGGGAAGGGAGGGAGAGAGGGAGAGAAACATTGATGTGAGAGAGAAACATCTGTCGGCTGCCTATCAGCACAGGCCCCACTGGGGACCTGGCCCACAACCCAGGCATGTTCCTCAACCCTGACCAGGAATTGAACCAGTGACCTTTCGGTTTGCAGGACGACATCTAGCCCACTAAGCCACACCAGTCAGGGCTAAGTATTTTTTTATCCCCACCCAAGGACATTTTCATTTGCTTTTTTTTTTTTTCCCAGACAGACAGAAGCAGGGAGAGAAGAAGAGGGAGAGAGAAACGTCAGTGCAAGAGAAGCATCAAGGGAGAATCATCAATCAGCTGCCTTCATAGACACACCCCGACCAGGGATCTGCGCAGGAGCCAGGAATCCTTGAGTCCCAACCACGGGTCGCACACGCCTGCACCCGACTAAGAACGGAATCTACAACCTTTCGGTCACTGATGCCGCTCCAACCAACTGAGCCACACCAGTGAGGACAAGGCTATGGTTTTTGTTTTGTTTTTTCATTCTGAGGACTTTTAATAGGTAGTCTACTGACATTCTCAAGAATGCTAAAAGCAGAAAATTTGTGAGTGTTGAGTGTTTCATCTCTTAGATTTTTTCTTAGTTTCCTACAAACTGGTAAACATCGAAGAGTCTTTACTTGTAATAAATATTTTAAACAGCTCAAGTTAAATTCAGTATTTCATATTATACTCTGCCCTATATTCCTGATATCCCTTTCTCTGCTCTACCTTTAATTGTTTAAATAAAAAAGTGTGTGTGTATTTATGTGTGTATATACACACACACACACAAAAATAATGATGTGTTCATTTAATGGGCTACAATGCAGCCATTATATGACATGGATCTACATGTATTGGCCTGAAAAAGATGTTAATGCCACACTGTTTGTGATACTGCCGTATAAGCCAGTTACAAAGTAAACTGTAAGCATGATACCATTTTTGCATAAAAACAGATATTCAATTATTTTATATGTTTATATGAAAAACATCTTTAAACTTAGACACCAAATATATTAATAACAGTATGGTGGTGTTGGGCCTCTCAGGTGACCCCCATGATCGCTGCCTCCCGGTGTTCATGCCTTTGCATAACCCCCTTCCCTTGAGTGTGGGCAGGAGCTGTGACTTGCTTCTAGACAACAAATGTAGCCAAAGTGACGGGATGTCATCCCTGTGGTTCTATGATGTTATAGAAGACTGTCTTGCTAGCAGACTCACTCCCACTCTCCTTCTGCCCTTGCATAAGCTAGCTGCTATGCCACGAACTGTGTATATATGGAGAGTCACGTAGCAGGTGACCCGCCTTTAGGAGCTAAGGGCACACTCTGGCCTGCAGCCAGTAAAAAACTAAAGCTGTCATTCTCACAGCTGCAAGGAAATGAATTCTGCCAGCAACCTGCATAAGCTTGGGCACGGACCCTTCCCCAGTCCAGTCTCCAGATGACAACCCAGCCCTGGCCAGCACCTTCATTGCAGCCTGAGAGGCCCTATGCAGAGGACCCAGCTAAGCTGTCCTCGGCCAACTTAACCACGGAAACTGTGAAGTACTAAACGTGTGCACTATCTTAAGCCACTAAGTTTCTGGTGATTTGTTATGCAGTACTAGAAAATGAACATGGTTATCTAGATCAGGGTTCAACAAACTTCGGGAGAGAATCAGACACTACATAGGCTTTGTGGGCCATCAGGTCTCTGTCCTGAACTCCGTGTCTGTATCTCGAAAGCAGCCACAGACAACACAAGAGAGTGTGTCTGTGTTGCAATAAAACTACAGGGTGGGGCAAAAGTACATATGGAAAACAATATAATAATAAATAAGAAGAAGAATAAACTCTGTTTCGCCTACTCATGACTGCTATATCCATACAGGCTCTTGAAGAATGCTTGATACAAAGGGTAATCCATAAATTCTTGCTGAAGAAATTATTTAGAATTCAAAAGATGATCAAGTTATGGCCCAATAACTAATCAGATAATCTATGTCTTAATAAAAGAGATAGGGGACACTACATTCTAGCCGTTTGTCTCCCCCTCCAAAACTCGTATTTACGAACCCTAATGCCTGATGCTCCCAGGAGGTGGGGCCTTTGGGAGGTCCTGAGGGTGGAGCCCTAGTGGGAGGGAAAGGTATTTGATTAAAATAGAGACTCCGAAGAAGAGACCACTAGCCTCTTTCACCATGTGAGCCCGCAGCACGAGGGCACTAGCTGTGAGCCAAGAAGAGGGCTCTAACCAAACCTGACCTGGATTGTGATCTTGCAATTCCACCCTCCAGAACAGTGACAAATAAATTTCTGTTGTTTATAAGCCGCCCAGTCTGTAGGACATTTGTTATACTAGCCCAAATGAAGACATGGGAAAAATGTTAAATTATAGCATGCCCATATTATTAAATAACTAAAATGAGATTGAAAATAAAGACTTTTTATTATATGTCTTACAACTCAGATAGCCTCTAAAGAGAATTAGATCCACTGGCCATTCCATCTTTGTCCCTAACAAAATTTTCTCTTATTACTAGAAAAAATGTGTGAATCCTTGAAAATAAAAGAATTTACAAATCTAGAAAATCTAGTCCTACTATAGATATACAACATCAAATAGCAGGGAAGGAAAGAAAAAGCTAGCAAATTGAGATTGTCGACTTGGTTTATAGCTGGACTTCATCCTAACACCACAAGAAAGAACTCAGTCATTGAAAGGTGGCTTTAGGAAGTGAAGTCTGCTGTGGGTGCTGCTATTGTTGCTGATGTATTACCAGCATCTACTGAACTCTCACAATACCAACCACTTCACGTACTAACTCATTTGATCATTATAGTAACTCTATGAGGATCAGAGAGGTCAAATAACTTGCTCAAGATCACATAGCTCATTAGCAGCTGAGCTACGTCTGAAAGCAGATTCCTGCAGCTAAAACCCACACTCCTAACTCTTATGCTCTAAGGCTTCCTTGTATAAGAAGGATACAGACCCATTCAACAGCTCAGTTTTAACTGGGCCTTCAAAATCCATCAGCATCCGATGAATCCCAGATGCATTCTCAGCTCCCCACGCCCTCTTAAGGAGTCTTAGACAAGTCTAATGTGTTCAAGCAAAATTAATGTTTAATATATGGGTTGGGAAGGAAGCAATGACTTATTAAGCACTCACTATGCTAAATTGCTTTCCACACCTTATCTCATTTAACCCCCACAACAGCTCCATGAATAGAAATCGTTCTTATCATTTTCTGGGTGAGACAACGGGAGTCAGGGAAGATACACACCCGGTAAAGGACAGAGCCAAGGTCCGAACCCAGGCCTGGGTGTCTCCAAAGGCTATGCTCTTCCTACTGTACCTCGGGGTGGGGGGTGGGAGACGCTAAGGCTTTCCATGCCATGTTCCCCACAAAAGGGCAGGGTTGAAAGCTCAAGTGCTGAGAGGGCAGAATAAAGGAATAAAAAAGTAAAATGTCATGTTAGATTCATCAGAGTTGGCTTCCTGGAGACATGCTATGTGAGTTTGTCTCGAAGGACGGAGAGGAGCAGACTTCACGGAGAAAGTACTAAAAGGCACCTCAGCGGAAAAAAGATGATGGAAAATGCACAAAATCTCAAGTACGATCATCACCAAACTCTCAGAATATAAGCAAATGAAATACATTTAAGTAAATCTTACTTCGTTAAAAGTAAGTAAATCTCTCAACACTGTGCACATGCCAAAAGAACCAGCAATTCTCTAAGATGCCAGTTCAAACTAGGACAGGTTATTAATGCTTTAACGTAGCTGGTCCCTAACAAGTGGTCATTTGTTGGCTGATGTAAAAGGAGCTGGCAGTTTCCAGTGATGGCTTTTCAGCGCCACTCCTGGCTGCCAACGCGTGTCAGTTTCAGCAGCAATTACCCTGCCCCAGGGTAAAATCCGTTCAGGTCTGGGATGGGGCACCGACTAAGGGGAGAGCTCAGCGCCCGAGTCCACATGCAGGGAACAATAGCTTTCCATAAGCATATTATCTTTCATGACAAACACACACCAATAACAAAACAGAAAAAAAACCTTAAAATCACCTTAACATCTGCCTGGGCATATCAAAATATAATCCTCAAGTATCTATAACCCTTTAGTAATTAAAAAAATTGGCACTATTTCCCAAAAGTTTTTATTTCTAAAAGATAGAACCTAGATGAAGCAGCTCACAGAAGTCAAACATATAGTTCTTTTTCTGTCCACTCATTTTGAGAATGAAAAAAACCCACTATCTATAATCCAAGACCTTTTCACAACAATGCCACCCTGTCCACACCAGATGGAGGCCCTTACTACTGCTCAGCTTCTCCTTCGTTAATCTCTAGTTGATTCCTCAGTTAACAGGGCTTATAACACTATTAACATCTTCTCCTATCTCTAAGCTGTCAACTCTATTCCAGACACTCTGCCAGCCTCCTCTCTATTTCAAAAGACCCCTGAACATTTATCTACCGTCTCAGAGAAAGAAGACCCTGTCCCTCCTTGCTAAGGCTAAGCTTCCTTCTACCTGCACTACTGCACTCCTGACATCAACCTCTCCTCCAGGAGCACCCTAAAAAATGTGTCAATAATGATCTCTACCATCTTTGATGAACTTGCCTTCTCCTACACAGCTTCTGGGTCCCATCAACTTACCCCAAATATCCTTGGCAATGACCCTGGAACAATATCCCTTTTTCTCACTGCTGACTCTCAGGCTGTCATTTCTGCTCATTTAGACGGTGGCAACATCCATTCTCCTAACTGTTCTCTCTGCTTCTGATCTCTCCCTTCCCAATTCAACTAGTTTACTGCACGAACTTCATCCTCCACGACACGGCTCTGACTTTCACTTCTCTATTTTAAAAAAGCTTTAATGGCTTCATTATACATCAAGTCACTTTCAAAGTCCAAAGCATGGTATTTTAAACCCTCCAAAAAGCTGATTCTCATCCATCGTATTGCTTAGTTGTACCAGGCTTTCTCCAGTAAGAAAAGCGTAACATACAAAATAGCTACCATTTACTGAATGCTTACTAAGCATAACTCACTCATTCTGCTGTTCATCTTAAAATTACTTATTTTACTAAACCCTAGTGTTTGTCAGGGCCAATTCCAGGCACTGGGACTGCAGCATGCACCGAGTGTGGGAAAAGCTCTACTTTCATGCAGCTGAGTGAGGGGAGGGAAGGGCGATAAGCAAATAAGTAAAAAATTATATGGTATATCAGATGGTGATAAATACCATAAATAAAAATAAAGAATGATAAAGGGAGTGTGATTTTAAAAGTATGGTTGAGAAAGAGCTTCCCTAGAAGGGGACATTTGGACAAAGGTCCAAAGGAAACGAGGGAATGAGCCAGGAGGCTATTTGAGCGCCAATTCCCAGCGGAGGGAACACAGTCGAAAGCCCCTGATCTGGGAGCACCCCGTGTCCAAGGAAATGCAAGGAGGTCAGTGTGACCGGAGCAGAGTGAGGGAGGGTGTGGTAAGACAGAGAAAACTGGGGCCAGGTCATGTGGTGCCACTGTGAGAACTCTGGCTTTTACTCGGAGTTAGCAGAAAGCCACTGGACACCTTTAAGTGGAGAAGGGTCACAATGTGACTTGAGTTTTAAAATGATCACTTCAGCTGGTGTGTGGTGAAGAAATCTGTAGGGACAAGATTCGATACAGGGAGACCAGGCAAAAAAAAAGAGATGGAAGCTTAGACCAAAGTGGCAGTAGCAGGGGAGCACAGGATTTGCTGATGGAATAGGCTGTGGGGTATGAAAAAAAGATGAGCCAATGACAATGACATCAAGGTCGTTAGGCTGAGGAACTGGTAGGACAGATCAACAATGACCAAGATAAGGAAGACAGTGGAGGAGAACATAATCAAAGGGGAGTGGGAGGAAGATCAGTTCACCTTTATACATGTTAGTTTTGGGGATACCTATTATACATCCAAAGAAACTTGTCGATTAAGCAGCTGTATATACACCTTGGAGCTCAGTGGCTGGGTCCAGGCTGATGACATCTGGGAGTCCTCAGTGTGGAGAAGGTTTTAAAAGCATGAGACTAAATGAGATCCCCAGCAGACAGAACGGAGCCTTGGAGCACTCTAGGGATTAGAAATTTAGAGGAGAAAACAGGAAGAGAGGCCAACAAGGAAGCAGCCAGTAGGCAAGCGGCAACATGATGGTCACTGGTGACCTTGACGAGAATAATTGTGGGGCAGTGAAGAAAACAAAGCTGACGAGAGTGGGTTCAAGAAAGACTGGGATGAAAGAGATGGAGAGCTACAGAATACATGGTTGACGGTAAAGGGGAAAAAAAAGACTGGGATGAGAGGAAGTGGAGACAGTCAGTACAGACAGGTCTTTCAAGCCACATAACCATACACCAGACCGTGTATTTTACAGATTAATTACAAGATAATTCTCTTACATCTCCCATCAAACTTGTGAAATAGGTAGCACTTATTCTCATGTACAGATCAGAAAACTGAGGCTCAGCAAAGTTAAATAATTTATTCAAGGTCAACATCTGTGAGTGGCAAGACCAGGACCCTAAACCAAGTCTGTCTAATTCCAAAGCCTAAGACTCTGGGCAACTCCGTGATAGAGTCTCCCAATCTTTGGGAGGAGGCAGCTGCAACCTATCCCTATTCCCAAGGATTCACTGGTTCAACAGGGTCCTAAAGCCAGCCCTTTCTGGGAACACCAGAGCAGACTCCCATTTTCCTCTGAGAACTTATCCATGTTCCTATAAATGGAGTCATGACTGCACTGACCTGAGTTGGGAAGCACTGATCCTTTGCCATTCTTCACATCCACCACCCAGGTGGCTTCTTTACCCCCAGGGCCATCCTTCACCTTGAAGGCAAAAATACCACCGATTTTCTTCACAAACTGTTCCCCCTCCTGGAAAGAAGAATAACACTGGGAGTTATATTAAGCTCATGTCTCTGGCCTCTTCCCCGATCAAATTAAATGTTTAAATAGATACTTGACACGAGCAGCTGAGCCAGCAGGGGCAGTCCCCAAGCTCCCTTAGGATCTTTTACCCAGAAAAGTCTGAAAGGCAACCAGGCAACAACCCCCTCATCTGCCTAGTCTTTTATGTTACAAATGGCTTTCTGGACAGAACTGGTGGAAGGAGAAGGAGGGTGGGGGGAGGGGGGCACGCCAGCATTTTCTACTGAAATGGCTTTCATTTATCTCAACGGTCTCTGAAAGACTCAGTCTGGCGTCTCTAAATGTATGAACTCCTTTTTTTTTTTTTGCAGGTAAATTCCTTTACGTACATTTTTTTGTTTCCCCCATTTTTGCTTCCCCACAATTAAAGACACATGATTCTGAGAGCAAAGTCTTTTTTTGGGTCAACCTATGGTCTGGATCAGTATAAAGAATTTTGCAAGTAAGGCACCATCTACAACTTACTTTTGGATCTTGAAGAATGAAGCTGGAAAAATGACCTCAGATACATATCTCTGTGGGCTGGTTTCCACCCCCCACCCCATTCCCACTCTGCCACATCTCCCCTCACTGCAGTGTCTACTGACTGAAACGACAACTGGCAGCAGACGGCAGCAGCCGCTGTTCTGGGCACCAGGAATGCGGAAGCAGGGGTTAGAGGGGTAAGTGATGATACGCTCCGATGACTATTACAGTATATTGTGATAAAGAGAAACACGGCGGACTACAGAGGGAAGCGGTAACAACCTCACACACCTTTTAAAAAAATAAATGGAAACAAAAATCATTTTACTGCAATTATTTTTCTTTAGAGAGAAAATACACTTTACTGTAGAAAAATTAGAAAATGTCAATAAGTGAAAAAAAGGAAAATATAAATGATTCATAATTTTATCACTCAAGAGAAAACATTTTAGTATATGGGATCATATTGTATATACTGTATTGTAATCCAGTTTCCTGTTTATCCTTATTACTGTGTCATTAAATACTCTTCTGCATACTTTAAAATGAACAATACAGTCTTTAATTGTAGAAGTGTACTATATTTAACCAATACTCTGTTGCTCAAAATTTAGATAATTATAACAATGCTGTGAATAACATCTGTATATCTAAAGATTTTCACATAGCCTCATCGATTTAAGATTAAATTCCTAGAATTAAACTCCACTAGTGAAGAACACTGAGTCTGGAACCAGCACAGGCTGCCACTCTCCACGCCCTCACCGCTCTGATCTGTCTTGTTCACTCCAGTCCCCCAGCAGCTGTGTCCGTCCTTTTCTGGCACACCTGACCCTCCCCAGAATCCCCAGTGGGCCTCAGGACTCTGAAGAAACTATTCTAAAAATATTTAGTCTGGGCCTAGTTATCTCAAAAAGCATGCAGGAATTTCTTACCTGTGAGGTCCTGAAACCAGCTACCAATACTTCCTAGTTATATCAAGAAGCCAAAATGACTGTCAGATTTTTTTAAGTCAAAGAGAAATTCTCTTATTTTGGCTTCTCTTAAAGATCTCAAATTATTTTAAGTTAACTTTAGGAAAAATCATTAACAACAATAATAGTCTTTGGAAGGTTATCAAGTTTTCAAGGGCTTTTTATGTACATTTTTCTTTAATCTTCATAAACCCTGTAAGGAGTTGGACAGGTATCAATATTAGCGCTGGGCAGAAAAAACACCTGAGGCCCAGAAAGGTTAGGAAACCCTCAGACCATTCTCTGTGCTGCTGCTAAGCACTCCATCTAACACGGAGCATCAAACTCATTTTCACAGGGGGCCACATCAGCCTCACGGTTGCCTTCAAAGGGCTGAACGTAGAGCTCCTTGCCCCTAGTTAAGGAGCAGTTACATTACACAGCCCAAAGATTACATTCGGCTCTTCGAAGCAACCACGAGGCTGATGTGGCCCCTAGTTAAACTCTTACATGATCCACCTCGCACGGTCCAGTTTGGATTTCTTAAATCGCGCCCCACAGACTATAGGATGAAGTCTTTCTTTATGTATCACTCAAGATCCTTCATGATCTGAAGGACAGTTATCTGTTATCTTCGGAGTTTTTAATCTTTCTCAGGCTTTATATTCTAACAATACTAACTAACCATTTTGAATTCCAGGAGCATACATGTCTCCGTGCCCCATCTGGTTCTGCACTTGCACTGATCTCATCAGGTCTCAGCTCACATGCTGACTCTCTGGGAAAGCTTTTCTGTCTCTGCTGCATACTTTGAAAGCTCTTTACACATGCACCAGGGTTTCTTGTGAAAGCAGTTATTTTCTTCTGGGAAATTGTTTCCATGTCTCTCTTCCCACTAAACTCTATGTTCCCTCAGGGGCAGGGACATATGACCAGTAAGCAGTGCAACCAAGAACTCAATCCGAGGATGGTTTAACTTCAAATTCCATGATCTTTCCAGTCGACCACACCTTACAAAACCATACCTGCAAAGCAGACTACATCAGTACCTCCAAACTTTAGACTTCTTATGAAAGCAGTTTGTTACCATAAATGAATTTTTAAACAGTTTAAAGTCTTCTCCACATCCCTTAAAATATTTTATCCCTCAAGGTTCTGGGGAGACAGTCTAGAAGAGGGGGTTAACAGTGCTGGTGTGTTGGGCCACCCGAGAGCCAGGCTTTCTTTAGGGCCAGTGGCTCCTCAATGACTATTTCCAGGTACATGCATGTCATGTGCTTGCACGATGCCTCAGCAAAAGAACTATGACAGACGCCAACAAGTTAGAGCAGGAAAACACCAGCAAACATTCAGAAATTCTACCTACGTACTTGGAGAGAAATTCCTCCCACCTCCTTAAGATAGGTGTAGATTAATTTCACACTTGCTATTAATTTTAAGAACCATCTGATCATCTTACAAAATCACATCCTTTGGTCAATAAAACATTTTTAACTGAAGAGGGAGGGAGAGAGTTAAAAGAGGAAAGCAAATACACATTTATTGTGAAACCACAGATCATTAATACTAAATGAGTTCTAAGGGCCTCCTTGCCTGAAGAAAAGTACTTCTTTCTGAGTAGGTAAAAGGTCAAGGAGTAGGTCCTGTCGTAAACACAACCGGAACAAAAAAATTAACAGAATTCAAAGAAGGGCAATGGGATATTGCTAACAAAGACAAAAGTGGAAATAAAATATCTTGCCAGGCTTCCTTTGCTAAGGTAGAAAATGCATGAATTGACAAAAGATTCCAAGACTTTCTTTTACTTTCTAGTCCTGCAAACATTTGGGAAACTGACAATCGTGGGAAGGAGGAAAAAAACCAAGGGGACAAGGTCCTTGCAAGTGAGGTTATGGAAGGTGGAAAAAAGAATTAAAATGGGAGCAGGAGGCACACATTTGCAAAGCTAGAAGAAGTCTGTGGAGTAAAAACAGCATTTCTTTGTTAACCCCAGTAATGAGCTGTGCAGTGACTGACATCCAGCCATACCAGAGACTCTCTCAGCGAATTATTTTTATTTGACTTTTTTTAACAGGAAAAGTTGAAAGAATGGGGCAACTTGGCACTACACTATGGGTTACTCTGTAGACAAATATTGCTGGCATGAAAGAAAAATTTTAAATGAGATATTTTTCCCCACTAGATTGGCAAAGATGTTTTTTAAACCAGCCGACATAGCACTGAAGAAGGTCTGAAAGAAAAAAACAGTCATCTCATAAATTATTATTAAATTTGTAAATCAGTCCCCCTTTTCTGGTGGATAATTGGGCAATGCGTATCCAAAAGCAAAGCACACACACCCACACTCCACAATTTCCCCCTTTAATTATTCATGCTAAGATAATCATGGCATTAAGTATTTAAAGAGGAGTGAAAAAGGAAATTTATTAAACCACTGCTTTACTCACACGATTCAAATACAACCCGAGGGTCACCATAGGAGACTAGTCAGATTATGGTACAGACATCCAAACAAGTGCAATGTGGTCATTAAGACTGATGGGAAGGACTTATGTTTAAGGGCACGGAACACACTGTCATAAGGAAAAAGCAGGCTATAAAATAAAAAGCAGTCTCACGCAGGGGCATCCCCACAAGATGGCAGGGGCACAGGTCTGCGGCAAGTGGACCACGGCCTGCCTGCCCAAGCTGTCTGCCCTGGCCCTCCCTACCTCAGAAAGGTGGTTGGTCATTACGAAAATCCCAGAAATGCAGGGTCCTTTGTCAAGACACATTGGTCACATTGGCTGCCCCCCCCAGCCCCGTGCCCCACCCCCCACAAACACATTCAATGCAATCACCTTTGATGTTACGAAGTCCTTTCTGCTACAATAGGGAGTTCCAAGATAGTTACAATGTTTGCCATCCACACTGTGGCTCTAACACCAGTGAAATACATAGCTCAAGTGTTCTGAACCCTTTTCTTTATTTCAGCCCACTTTAATCAGCTTGCAGCTATGCAATTGGACTTGTGTGACTGGCTATAACTGTTTTGTTAGCCTCAAAATTGAAACCGATAATAAAACCCCAAGATGCCTTTCAGTTTGAAACAATGAAGTAAATACCTCATTTTACCTGAAGAAAATAACTCTCTTCTTGGAGACAGTCACTGGTAGATTACCTAGTATGATCTATCAAGAACTAATTATTGTACATAAAAATAGATCTGCATATACAGCGTTATTTTAAAAACTCAACAGATATTGTATGATCCTAATTATAGAAACCTGTATGTCCACACACATGAAGAGACGTCTGAAAGAAGGCCAACCACTGTTAATGTTTTAGTGAACTCTAACACATTGAGATTTAAAAAAAAACTTTTATAAGAGTTTATTTGAGTCAAATTGATGACATATGACAGGGAGCAAGATCTCAAATGCTCCCATTTCAGATTTAAATTTTTTCTGCCTTATATGTTTCTATAGAGTTTTAAAAATTAGCATCTTAAAAAAACCTTTTTTTTATCCTCACCCAAGGACATTTTTTCATTACTTTTAGAGAAAGAGGAAGGGAAATAGAGAAATACCGATGTTAGAGAGAAACATCAATTAGATGCCTGCCATATAAGTACCTGGATTGGGGATTGAACCTGAAACCCAAGTATGTGCCCTGACTGGGAATTGAACCTGCAAACTTTTGGGGATTAGACGATGCTCCCACCAACTGAGCCATATCAGCCACAGCAAAATTAGCATCATTTTTACATCAAGAAAAAACAAATTAAAAACTACCTTGAAAAAAATCAAGCACAAAAGATTTATTTTAAACGAGTTTTGATATTAGGTAGCTTTAAAGGCTCACTTTAAATATTCTTTTGAACAGTTCTATGTAAGATCTTTTTAATTCAGAATAAAATTACACCAAAATAAATTACAACCCCTTTATATATAAACTCTGTCCATAATCATTATCTCCCTGACAAAGAAGATGGAGAAAAGAGTGGCAAGTGCTAGCCTTTCCTCTGAAGTTAAGATTTTAATAGCAATTTCCCATAGTTCTTTATATAACTCAAACCTGGAGGTTTATATCTCTCTGCAATGCACTCCCACCAAAATTATAAGGAAACTGTAATATACACTCAGATATATAAAATACACTCAATACTTGATAACATGATATGAATTTCAACTTGTACCACCTCGTGGCAACATCTGAAATCTATATGTGCTTTCTCTAGTGTCCAGGTCCTCTTGGTAGTATTTTATATAAATATTACTTACCTCTTCAAGCTTCTTCTCAATCTCTTTAAAGACAAGGCTTGACTTAAACCCTTCAACTGCAGAGTTGGTTGGAACAGCCGCAATTTGAGGAGTTCTAAAAGAATGGGGGAGGCTCCATTTCAATCATGGAATCACACAGGTACTAGGTTTCCCAACATTTAGACAGTAGTAATTTTCCAAAACCCTAAAATCAGAGCTGTTATAACTCCTACCCAAATAAAAGTGTTATTTAACCCATGAAACAAGTTTTACTTCCCTTTTTTCAACAAATATGAGTGCTAGGCACTATCCTTGAAAATACTGTAATTTGAAGAACCTACCCTCAAGAAGTTTACATGCTAGTGGGGGAGAGAGAGCCAATGAACAAGCCAAAAAAAAAAAAAAGGGCTATTGTTACTATAAAGAAAATAAGGCAGGTTAATGGGATATAGAGAAAGTGTATTTATTTGTGCTGGGTGTTCTACTTTAGATAGCCTGGTCAGATGGGTCTCTCTGAGGAGGTGGTACTTAAATTATGTCCATGAGCCAGCCATGTAAAGATCTGGGTGGGGAAGCCAGTTACATAAAGAACTTGAGGTAGAAACCAGCTTGGCAGTTAAAGGAACTACAAGAAGACCAGTATGGGTGGAGAGAACAGAAGGATATAAGGTCAGAGAAACATGTGGGCAAGGTAATGAGGGGCTTTATAGGTCATGATTGGGAGTCTGGGTTTTATTTTAAGTACAGTGAGTATAAACTGGAAAGAAGCACAATACATTTTACATGTTTTAAAAAATAAACCTGACTGCCAACTGGAAAACGGACTGTAAAGAGGCAAATGGGGAGGCAGCGGCCCTGGTTAAGAGGCCACTGCCGCAGCCCAAGAAGGTGGTAGTGATGAGGAGAGGGTTATAAGGAGGTGTGGAATAAGCAGAGGCTGGACTTGAGATTCATGGTCTACCTTTGATACAGATATGACTTTGTGGACGAAAAAAGGGGTTCTACAAAAAGCAACCTCACAGGATGATCTGACCATAAATTCCTAAATGGACAGGTCATGGTGGATAGTCACGCCCCGGGCATGCTACTTTTTATTAATAATAAAAGGCTTATCTTTGCCTTAAGCAAGTCCAGTCCATTGTTTCTGTATACCTAGGTCAATAACCACCCTCAGGAAAGCACATAATCTAGTCTTGCTTTCTCCCACCCTCATGTAATCTTCCTTACAGTCCCTCCTTAATTTCAGTACATAAATGAAACTGTGAAACTGCATTCTCTGGAGCATTTGAGATCTTGCTCCCTGATATACATCATCAGTGTTGGCTCAAATAAACTTTAAAAAAAAAAGGTTTTATTTACTTTTTAGAGAGAGGGGAAGGGAGGGAAAAAGAAAGGGAGAGAGACGTCAGATGTGCAAGAGAAACATCCACCAGCTGCCTCTTGCACACCTCCAACTGGGGACCTGGCCCATAACCCAGGCATGTGCCCTGACCGGGAATCAAACTGGCAACCTTCAGTTCTCAGGCTGGTGCTCAATCCACTGAGCCATACCAGCCAGGGCATCAAATAAACTTTTATAAAAATTCTCTATAGGTCTGGACATTTCTTATGTTGACAGATTAACAAACACCTGCCTATTGATTGTTTGATATTTAGGGAACCACTATAGACACCTCATGTGGCAGAAGAAACAGTCTTTATAGCACAAAGTCTTGGGCTGGAATCCTCAGGGCTTCCTGCACTCGCTAACTGTATGATTATGAGCCAGATACTTCTCTGTGTACCGCCGGTGAGGAGGCAGGGAAGGAGGTGCACAGTGCCAATGACTTTCCAGAATTAAAGGGAAGCCAGTGTGAAAGCACCAGCAGGGATCCTGGCCCATAGTAAAAAGTGGCAGACATGACTGTGATGGGCTCCAGAGTCTCAAGTATTAGATTCAGACTGCCAGACACAGTCAGAACGTTGAGGGGTCTGAGGAAGATGAGGCCACCTTTGGGTGTTAGGTAACTCCTCTGACGTACTGAACACACGCTGGCGTTGGCTGGGACGGACACAGGAACACCACCAGACGGACACAGGAGTCAAGAGCATAGAAGCTGTTCAGTAAACACTCTTTCTCTCTTTCCCCTCCTCCCTCCCTCTCCAATTCTTTCTTTCCTTTTCTTCTCTCTCTCTCTCCCCCTCCTTTCCTTCCTTCTGTCTTTTTCCTCTCCCTACCCATTTCTCTTTTCCCTTCCCTTCCCTTTTTTCTATCATTTCATAAATATTTAATGAGTGCTAGCTACATGCCCAACACCGTTCCAGGTACTAGGAGTATAACAGTAAAACAAGTCAGACCCAATCCCTCTCCTCACGGTTTACATTTTTCTTTTTGGTGGAAAAGAAAGTAAACAGACAAAATAATTGCAAATATTAGGAAGCAAAAATAGAGGAAAAACCTACTTTAGGTAGGGCAGTCAAGGAATGACATCTTAGAGCAAATGAATTTAAGCTAAGACCCAATTAAAGGACCAAATGGAGTGGGCCTTTCAAAGAGGAAATGCCAAGTCCCTTGAGAAGAGTTTGGTATGTTAAAAGAAGTAAAACACAAGCAGAAAAAAGTGTCACTAGAGCCCAGTAAGTGGGAGGACAGTGACATGAAATGAAATGGGAGAACTAGGCAGGGACCAGATCACGCACACCAAAGTAGGAAATCTGGGAAGCCACTGAAATGATTCAACAGGCAAGTGAAGCAGTTTGAGTTGTGATTATCCTCACGACAGCATGCGCAACGAACTGGGGAGGAGGGTGCAAGGTCAGAGGAGGGCAGACAGGAGGCTGCTAGAGCAATCCAAGGAAGAAGTGAGGGTGGTCTGGACTACAGTGGAGGCAGTCTGCCGGTGCAGATAGCGTAGAGAAGAAAAGGGATTCAAAATAAATTTCCTAGATAGAATCCAGATAGAATGAGGGAGATTTAAGTAGGTGGGGAAGGACAAGGATTATTCAAGAATAGTAGTGCTATTATTTATTGATAAAAAGAATGTAGTGGGAGGAGAGGGGTTCAAGTTCCATTTTAGGCACATGAAGTATGAGAAGTTTCTGACACGATCAGGCAGTTGGATATGGGAGTCTGGAGCTCAGAGGAGAGGTCTACACTGGAGAGAAAATGGAGATAATCATCAGCATAATGAAGGTATTTAAATCCATGGGAACTGATAAGCTGTCCTTGAAAGAAAAATGGAGAAAGAGGGCCCAAGACAACACCCCATGGAACTCCAGTATTTAGAGGTCTGGGAGAGAAGGGGAAGCAGCAGCCAGTGATGCAAGAGGAAACCAGTAGAACATGCTGAGGGGGCGGAAAGAATCTGGAGGGAGGCATGAACTGTGTCAAGTACCTGCGGGATTTGGCAACATGGAGAGGTCAGATGACTTTGACAAAAGCAATTTTAAGGGAGTGGTGGAAGGCAGAAGTCAGATTACAGTGAATTATCTAGGGGAACCATGAAATGGAGTGGCCTTTGGAGAGGAGTGTAGTATCAAGAAAAGTTTGTTTTTGTTTTAGATCAACACACTGACCATGTTTGCCTGATGATGGTAATGAACCAGGGGAAAGGAGACACAAGGAGAGAAGTCTTGAGAAGGTGAGGGGATGAGGATGAGACTTAGGGAAGGAGGGTCAGATGGGGCTATAGGTCCTGAGATGGAAGATGAGGGACTTTGGGTCTAATGGCTTCCGATTTTTCAGCAAATTAATCAGTTAAGAATGAGGATGAAAGGGTGGGTACAGGAAGTCTAAGAAGTTCAAAGTGAGCCTACCAGAGGAATCACGTTAGTGTCATGAACAGTAGGCAGAGAACCTAAGCTCCTGCCATGCTGAAATATGTGTTCTCAGAGCACGCTTCACGCTGCCATGCCTTTGCCAGCGCTGCTCCTCACATGTGGAATACTTCTGTCTGAGCAAGCTCCGTTTCACCCTCGAGACCCAGACCATGCAACTCCTTTTCTGTGAAACACTGCTAGATGTCACCTTCTCAAATGCAGATACCACAGCTCTCTCTCTCTCTTTTTTTTTCCAGAGAGAGAGGAATGGAGGGAGAAAGAGAGGAAGAGAAACATCAATGTGTGGTTGCCACTTGAGCGCCCCCCTACTGGAGACCCAGCCGCAACCCAAGCATGTGCCCTGACTGGGAATCAAACTGGTGACCCTTTGGTTCACAGTCTGGCGCTCAATCCACTGGACTGCACCAGCCAGGGCACCACATCTTTTTTTTCTTTTTTTTTAAATTCTTTATATTCTCAGCTCTCCACACACGCTAAGTGTATTCAGTAAGCAGTGAATAAACAGAAAAGAAATTACACTGAATTCTCCCTTACGTAAGTCCTAATTTTTTCCTGTTCCACTTCAAACAGAATCATGTATGGTCACCATCTTCTGTCACAAGCCTGAACGAGCAACATGAAATCAAGTCCTCCACCGGACAATTTTATTTCATTAATTCAGCTCTTCAGTTTTTCCTCATCACTGTGCCCTGCTCCAAGCTTGTCATTTCCTGACTGTACATGACAAAATAATAACCGATACTAGTAGCACTTTTCAGGGTACAAAATATTGTGGTTCTTTGTGGGGTGGAATGCAGACAAGTTCCCACAGGCCACAGGTATCTCTTCATCTTGCTTGTTTTGAAAAGCTCATCAAGCTAATGATCACTCAAGTTTACATCCAGATTAGGAAAAATATATATACCTTACAATTTATCTGATATGCACCCTGCTCTAAGGAAACTGAAAACAGTAACTTAAGCAAACTTAGAAAAGAGATTACTCATATTACAGAAGGATGTTCCTCGTGATTTCATTATCTATAAAGTTCTTTTAGCAAAAACTAAATTCTGACCGTTTTTAAACTTGGTTTATACATAAGTCTCCTGAAATAAACATAGTACACAAAATATTGGAAAGGACTTTGAAGATTAATTATTTGGTTTATGAACTTCCTCTATGCTTCCTGAAAATTTTCATCCTCAGGCCTAAAATACAGGCACTGTTTCAACAACGTCAAAGATCAGGAACACAGAGTAGCCAAGAAAACAGGAACTTTCAACACACGTGGGTCTGGGATCTTGATCGCTACCACTT